GAAGAGAGTTTTCAAGGTTAACTGCAAGCTTTTTAAAAGTGAAAATAAAAGGGTGTTAGACTTTCCTCACCAGATATGAAAAAAATACTATGAAGGTATGGTAACCAAAACTATGTGATATTGACCAAGAGTAGGCAAAGAAGTCAATAAAACAGGGGAAAAAAACAGGTCAGTCAATAATGATTTGAGGAAAATGGCTTCTGAAATTGGATAAAAGTAAAGGAAACATCTACTTCACATCAAAGAAAAGTATAAATTTTTTAAAGTAAAAAATTTAGAGAAAAGAATATGAGAATATTTTAACATACTTCGGGAGGGGAAGCTTTCTAAAGCAAGAAGAGACAACAGATAAGCTTACACCAAGGATTTTGGACCAAGCGCTGGCTGCACCATGGGCTTCTGTTTATTGACTGCTAATCACTGAGTGTGTACCATTTGCCAAGCACCATGCAAGACGTTGGGAATTAAAGAATTGAAAAAATAGACAATAATACCTGCCTTCAAGGAAGTTACATCTGGGGACCAGACTAGGCTTTTGTCTGAAGTTGTCCTTGACTTTGTCACCTCTGAATACATTTGAGCTGGGCTGCAAGGAGGTTGGATCAAGTGACCTCCTTCTCTCCCTCCTCCTGCCCTTCATCGTCAATCTTTGCCTCTTTCTCGAAATAAGATAGAGTTCCAAAGAGTTTTTTCTGCCTGTTTTCTAAGATATCACAAGGTTCCATCAGGAAGAGAAACTGTGTTTATTTAAAAAGAAAAATATTTCCCTATCCATCAATGAAGATCTTTTTCCAGTCTTTATTTTTTCTTTTCTAATACCAACTGTCATTTCTATTTGGAGACTCCACCCGATTACAGAAAACTTCAGGAAACTCAAAATGAGACATTTCTCAAGTGCTTCACTGTTGGAAACTGAGCCACACTCAGGAAGGTTTTCCTCTTCCCTTTCACGTTCTAGTTGAATCTGCGCTTTGGAAAGCTTCTGCAGCGCTGCAGCGTGGGAGGAGTTGTCCACCTCTCGGCCCTGACACGCTCTGCATGTTCGTCCTCTGGAACTGTCTCAGTTCTCTCCTCAGTGGTCATGATGACCCTCGTTGGTCACCTGCACATGGGTTTGTCATCTCTGTCACCCTTGGTACAGTCGTATCCTAGGGCTTCCAGGGTTTCTTCCAGGATTTCTCCTCTCAGGCAGGCTGAGAGAGGTGTGGCTTCCATGGTCCATGCTGTCAGCCACTCAGTTCAGTTCAGTCGCTCAGTCACGTCCGACCCTTTGCGACCCGATGGACTGCAGCATGCCAGGCTTCCCTCTCCATCACCAGCTCCTGGAGTTTACTCAAACTCATGTCCATTGAGTCGGTGATGCCATCCAACCATCTCATCCTCTGTCGTCCTCTTCTCCTCCTGCCTTCAATCCTTCCCAGCATCAGAGTCTTTTCAAATGAGTCAGTTCTTCGTATCAGGTGGCCAAAGTATTGGAGTTTCAGCTTCAGCATTAGTCCTTCCAGTGAATATTAAGGACTGATTTCCTTTAGGATGGACTGGTTTGATCTCCTTGCAGTCCAAGGGAATCTCAAGAGTCTTCTCCAACACATCCTCAATATTGCAGGGCTGCTCCAGAAGTCTTCATATTGTCCCGAATCTCTCTTCTAAGTCTCTCCAGGAATATACAAGACTCTTCAGATCCTCTTCCCTTGAACATCCCACATAGTTACGTTCTATTGCCTCATATCACTGTGACTAGTGGCATTTCTGTGGGACTTAGCACTATCCCAAATAAGCACATGGAATGAGAACTCATACATCCCTATGAGTGAAGTCGCTCAGTCGTGTCCAACTCTTTGCAACCCCGTGGACTGTAGCCTACGAGGCTCCTCCGTCCATGGGATTTTTCCAGGCAAGAGTACTGGAGTGGGTTGCCATTTCCTTCTCCACGGGATCGTCCCAACCCAGGGATCGAACCCAGGTCTCCTGCATTGTAGGCAGATGCTTTACTGTCTGAACCACTAGGGAAGCCATGCATCTCTATGCCCATCCCCATAAAGGGATGGCAGTCATGCTCCTTCTGTGACTGAGCTGGCGGATGTGGAGAGTTTGGTGTAGAGCAGAGAACCTCACAGCAATATCTAAAATCTCTTGTTCTCCTAGAACTCTCTTTCTCTCCTTGGAGTTCTTTTCTCTATTATTTTTTTTACTTGTTATACAATTTTTAAAGGTTACATTCCATTTACAGTTACTATAAAATATTGGTTGTGTCCCTATGTTGTATAATAAATACATCCTTGTAGCCTAGCTTATACCCAGTAGTCTGGACTTCCCACTCCACTAGCCTTATATTGTCCCTCCCTTTGTCTCCTCACTGGTAACCTCTAGTTTGTCCTCTATATCTGGAAGTCTGCTTTTTTTTTTTGTTATATTCACTAGTTTACTGTACATTTTAGGTTCCACATAACACCATATAGTATTTGTCTTTCTTGTCTGACTTATTTTACTTAGCCTAGTGCCATCCAAATCTATCTGTGTTTTGGCAAGCATCAAATTTTCTTTCTTTTTTATGGATATGTAGTATTGCATTGTGTGTAGGTATACCACTTCTTTTTTATCCATTCATCTGTTAGCAGACACTTAGATTGGTTCCTGATCCTGGCATTTGTGAATAATGCTGCTGTAAACTTTGAGGTGCATGTATCTTTTCAATTTTTTTTCTTTTATTATTATTATTATTTTGCTTTCTTCAGATAAAGACCCAGGAGTAGGGTTGCTGGAACATATGGCAGTTCTGTTTCTTTAGATTTTTGTACAACCTCCATATTGTCTTCCACAGTGGTTGCACCAATTTACATCCCCACCAGCAGTGTACATGTGTTCCCTTTCCGCCCCGTTCTCACCAATATTTGTTACTTCTGTTCATCTTGAGGAGAGTCATTCAGAGGTTCTTTTCTTGTCTGGAGTGAGGAATTAGCTCTCATGTACTGAGTATTCATTCCAAATCTTCTGTCACTCATCAAGAGGGTAGATTTTTAAGCTTTAAGAGCCAAGAACTTTGATGTAGACAGTAAACAGATCTTATTATGATTAGCTTATGCCAATAAATTTGAAGCTAAATAGGGGGAAAAATGCACTAAGGATTTTGAGACTGTTGATGGAGCCGCTTGGTGTGTGTCCTTGGTAAATGTCTCCATCAGTATCCCACGTTATCCTGCATCACACACCTGTTCTCAGGTCCTGCTTCAGTATGGTCCCTCGACACTATTTGTTTTTCTTTATTTCACTTTTTTTTTTAGTTGAAGTGTTATTGTTTTACAATGTTGTGCCAACCTCTCCTGTACAACAAAGTGACTCAGGTGTACACGTGTATACATTCTTTTTTCATATTCTTTTCCATTGTGGTTTATCACAGGATATTGAGTATAGTTCCCTGTGCTGTACATTAGGACTTTGTTGTGTATACTTTGCTTGGTTTTTGCGAAGGAGTGGATTGAAGTGTTTGAATACCTTTTCTCAAAATGCTGGCTTTCCAGATGTTTTCCAGAGTAACTTTTAGTTTGTTTATAAATTCAGATTTAACAGTGTTATCTTTTGCTCACAGACTCTAAAACAAATTGGCAGCAATTACTGAATTAGAATAAATACTTCTTGATTATGTACCAATGAAATATGTTTTCTGTAGACATGAATCTTAAAATCTGAGAATCTAGAGCTTATAGTTGAGTCTGTCCCCTAAAATAAATTGAGGCAAAGTTATTTTTAAAATCACAATATCTCCTTTTAACATTAATAGAATCCTAGGTTGCAATGTTGCTGTTCTTGAATCTCTGTCTAAAAACATGGAATTCTGAGAACTTACCAGAAAATGTCCCCTGGTGCTTCTTTACCTTTCTGATCCATTTCTAATGAACAGCAACAACAACTAGTTTAATTATAAACCAGGTTCACCATTGGATCTTCTGTGCCTCTACAGTATGATATTACAAAACATCAATGGCAATAAAATATACACATTTTTTTAAAAAGGTTTCATTTTTTTCTTTTTATCTGTGAGAAGAAATAGCATATAACACTATAAAGCATAACTCACTTATCCTAAAACATTAAAGCCCAACTGACAAATTGAGTGAAGCGGTAGTATTTTCTCATGAAGACAGGACACCACCGAAAAAACAGCTGATTTTTGTGCTAATACTGGGTGGTCCAAAAAAGATGAAGTGTTGAATCAATTCTCCAATTTTGGAAGAGCTGTGGAAAAACAAATAGAGGAAGCAAGTGAGCCATTGTTAACTATGGAAAAGACGTATTCTGCTCAATTTTCTTCTGGTCCAGCTTTTAGTGTTTGATCATGAGGTGGTTCAGCTAGGTAGGTAAGTGGATAACTAGCTAGATATGCTAGGAAGTAGATATATAGGACTCAGATTTGGTCCAAATTTTGAGCCTGAAAAGCAATTGAAAAATAGCTTAACCACAATTGATAATATTAATACAAATTCATTCCATAAACATGTGTTGCTCTTTATTAGCAAGCTCTATGCTAAGTAATTTTTATGGACTTCCACAGTGGCTCAAACTGTAAAGAATTTGCCCTCAATGCGGGAGACCTGGGTTCGATCCCTGGTTTGGGAAGATCCCCTGAAGGAGGGCATGATAATCCACTCCAGTATTCTTGTTAAGAGAATTCCCACGGACAGAGGAGCCTGGCGGGCTACAGTCAATGGGGTTGCACAGAGTTGGACATGACTGAAGCAGCTTAGCACGCGTGGCAATAATCATAGTGATGATGAGGACGCTGATGATGATACAGAATGCTTTTGAGTTTTATTATAGTTCTGTGAGAAGACCGTTGCAGGCGTTTATCTGTGCCTGTTTGTTTCACCCTCACTGATCGGTGTTCCATTCCCCACGCTTGCAGAATGTTAATGGCCAACACAAGCACTCCGTTGCCTAAAAAGGGAGGCACAGAGTAGGACACGCAATACAGACTCGTGCTAATTGTCTCTATTTTATTACAGCAAATTCTTCGTCATTCTAGAGAAAACTCAACGAAAGTTATATTTCTCATTACGGATGGATATTCCAACGGGGGAGATCCAAGACCTGTTGCGGCATTGCTGCGAGATTTTGGGGTGGAAATCTTTACGTTTGGCATATGGCAAGGAAACATTCGAGAGCTGAATGACATGGCTTCCATCCCAAAGGAGGAACATTGCTATCTGCTCCACAGTTTTGAAGAATTTGAGGCTTTAGCTCGCCGGGCATTGCATGAAGGTAATGGAAGCTTAATGGCACACCACAGTGTCTTTATATGGGGCTTTCCTTCTTGCTTACTGCTTGAAACCCACCCGTGGGGAAAACAATGCCAAGCCCTATGGGATCTTTGCTGAGCATGATAGCTATGTGTCTCTTGTGTATTACGAGATGTGTTGAACTTCAAAAATAGAGATGACACTCTGACCTTGCGACAGGAGTATTTGTTTTGTTTTTTAACAGCTGTGATATATTTTCACTAAAATATCCATATGCTTCCACAATTAGAATCAGTGGAATGAGTGGAGGTGTGTTTTAAGGCCACACACGGAGTCAGAAACCTTGACTTAGATTTCATCTACAGTTATCTGGAAGGATGAAGTAAACGTTGAGAGACGGACTTCGTGAATCTCACCAGAATGTTTCCAGAAATATTCATGAAGAATAGAGAGAGTAAATACTTAACACGTATTTATTGGCCTGACAGTTTGAAGACTGATATGATATGCTTATGGTAAACTGAAGAGCAGTGAGAGCAACAGAGGGTAGCATCAGTAAATCCATTCATTAAGTTCTTTGTACACTGTTTATAGTGATGCTTAGTTGAATGACTTAAGTCAGATGATGAACTTCCAGGTGTAGTATGGGCATGTATGTTGCCGTGATCCAGAAGAGAAAGTGTAGATTGGGAGTAGGGGATCAAGGATATAGCCTCAGACCAAAGCCATGGAGCAAATTAGGCTTGATCTTTCAGATACCCACATGAAAGATTCAGTTTGATGGGTAAATCATGGCAACACAAGATTTCCTCACAATTAGTGATAAGCTTCCCTTGTGGCTCAGATGGTAAAACCTATGTTGCAATGTAGGATACCCGCTTCAATCCCTGGGTCGGGAAGATCCCCTGGAGAAGGGAATGGCTACCCACTCCAGTATTCTTGCCTGGAGAATTCCCTGGGCAGAGGAGCCTGGCAGGTTATAGTCCATGGGATCACAAAGAGTTGGACACGACTGAGTGGCTAATATACACACAGAAGAAGTGGGTCAGCCCTACTGTAGTTCCAGCAGAAGAGTTTGGAGCAGCATCTCAGGCTCCCTATGCATGTAGCAAAAAAAGTCCCCGTCAGTCAACTAGTAACTGAGCGGCTTTGACAGATTATTTAACTTTTGTACTCCTTAGATTTCTTGTTGATGAAATAGGATACAAGATGAGTACCTACTTCATAGGTTTGTTCCAAGGATTACATGGATTAACACATATAAAGTGACTAAAAAACTTACTGAGGGCTTATAATACTAAGCTGTCAATAACTGTCCATTATTGCTGTTACTTTAGGCAATTTATCTAACATCTATGACCTTCAGTTTCATCCGCTTTTAAAATGGAGCTATTATAACATGTGCCATATAGTTTTGTCAAGAGGACTAAATAAAATATTTAAATTTCACCAATGTAATATTTGGCACTTGGCAGAAGTTCACCACCTGGGATTTTCTTTGTTTGTCCTTTTCTCTGGGAAGAGTGATATGTTGAGTGGGAAGACAGAATGGCTGTTGCACTAGATGGGATCGTGAAATTATCAGTGTTATTAGCTGTGTCGTTGAGGACTTGTCTCCAGTCCTACCAGCCTTCTGTCTTGTAGGACAGGGCCCTTCTGCCCTGATGTGAGCCAGAAACTGGATGGGACAGAGTCTTCAGGGAAAGGATTTTGGTTACCATATTGCAACAGGGTTTTGAAAGGCGTAACTTTTATTACTGTAAACTAGTATCTAAAAATGTGTACTACTCTGATGGAGTTTCTAGATTCCATCAGAAGAGATCTTTTTTTTTCCTGAAAAACATGATCAAAGCAAAAGAAATTAACCTCATTTCCCCTGTCTTGACGTTCTCTGCAGTTGCATTCTTTTTTTTTTCCAATAGTTTTTTATTTTCATACAATTGTTAAAGGTTACTTTCCATTTACAGTTATTGCAACATGCTGGCTGTATCCCCCATGTTGTACAATACATCCTTGTGGCCTAATTCACATCCAGTAGTTTGTGCCTCCCGGTCCATCACCCCTGTATTGGCCACCCCCCTATTGGTAACCACTAGTTCTCTGTATTTTTGGGTCTGCTGAAACTACTTTCAATTGGATGGATCCACTTTTTAGATTCCCAGGGTGGCTCCAGTGGTAAAGAACCCACCTGCCAGCACAAGAGACTTAAGAGACACAAGTTCAGTCCCTGAGTTGGGAAGATCCCCTGGAGGAGGAAATGGCAAGCCACTCCAGTATTCTTGCCTGGAGAATCCCATGGACAGAGGAGCCTGGCGGGCTACAGTCCACAGGGTCGCAAATAATTGGATATGACTGAAACAACTTAGTGCACTTTTGGCCTTAAGACTGTCCGTGTTTGTGGCCATTCTCAGAGGATGTCGGTTCTAGAATAATAGCTTTCTCGATATGCAACTTCTTCATTTACCTCTCCCAGACCTAAATGCTAGTGCACCAGTCTTACAGCTACATTTTCCTGCTCCCTAGACTGCCAGATCAACCTGTGTCTCAGAGCTAATTCCTGGGTGCCCGTGTTGCAGACCTTGTACCCACACCGCAATCTATTGCATGAGCTTTAATGGGGTACTTGGTTGTACTAGTCTCTTTCCCTTAGTGCTGGAATCTTCCCTTTACTTAGTCCCTATTATTGCTCGGGTCTTAATGCGTTGAGAGAGATGTTCCATAACTGACGCCATCACCTGTCTCTTTTCTGAGTATTCATTAGCAGTTCATGTATGTTGCTGAAACTCACCCATTTGAGTTCCTACTGTGAGCCCATCACTGTATCTTGGCCTAGCACCATGGACCTAGTACTAAAATTTAGGCTGAGACTTTTGAACCTCTTCCACGGGGTACATAGAACTTACTGTGTGCTTGATTCTAGGCCATCGATTCTTGGTAAGTTGCAATTAATTTTACCCTGCCCTATTAAGTCACTTTCAGAACAGGACAGCCTGCCTGAGTTGTCGAATTCCCAGCATGGCTCACTTTAGAACGTGGCTTGAATAATCAGTAATGGTCACCTTTTACATGTGAAAATTTATTTAAAATTGAGAGACAAAGCAGATCCTAGTTCTATGATTCAACTTGTGTGGTGCCATTGCTTCAGTCTTTAATCAAATAATTATAGAAGTAAAGATACGTGTTTTAAGTCAGTTGCCCGCAATCAACACCCTTGGGCAGCAGTCAGGACTGCAGCTTTATTGTTTATTTGAGCAGGGACTCTAGAAATCTGGTTACTGCTGCCTGACCTCATGCTGGTGGGGAAGCCAGGAGACTGACCTGGAGAACCGACTGCATAACTTCCTGCTGCATCTGGAGATTCCTCGCTGAAACGACTCCATTTCTGCCTGACCCTGCCTGGCCTGGAGAACTGAGGATGAGGTCCCAGACTGAAAGAGCTTAACCGGCTGCTCCAAATCCCCAGCCTGTAGTTGTGCAAATCACACACTTTCCTATTCGGATGGGAGTGGGGAGCGATTGGGAATTCGACGGAAATGAAAAGATATTTCCTCGTAACAAGAGAATGTAACATTCCACTGCTCATTCCTTTTTTTTTTTTTTAAATGACCTCCCTGTCATATGTGCTTGTAGATCTGCCTTCTGGGAGTTTTATTCAAGAGGATATGTCCCATTGCTCCTATCTATGTGAAGCCGGCAAAGACTGCTGTGACCAGATGGCAAGCTGCAAATGTGGGACTCACACGGGTCAGTTTGAGTGCATCTGTGAGAAGGGGTATTACGGGAAAGGTCTTCAGTACGAATGCACAGGTGAGTGTCTGGTCTGTGTCAACTGTATCGGTTGCCTTGTTGCTCTGTAGGAATGGAGCCCCACGCTCAATGGCTTAACCACTAAGAATTTAGTTGCGTTTTTTTTTAGATTTCTTTTTTTAATGTGGACCATTTTTAAAGTCTTTATTGAATTTGTTACAGTATTGCTTCTATTTTATACTTTGTTTTTTTGGCCACGAGGCGTGTGGGATCTCAGTTCCCCGAGGAGGGATGGAACCTGCACCCCCTGCATTGGGAAGCAAAGTCTTAACCCCTGGACCACCCGGGAAGTCCCGAGAGTATCTGACATTGCTCATGAATCAGTGAATCGGTTTGGGCAGCACTTTTGGTCCTTAGCTGTGGTGACTGATTACGTTTGTCATTGACCGTGAGGAGGGTTGGCTGCCCTGCGCATCTTACCTGCGTTCTCTCACCTGTTTGGGCATCCGCTGGCTGGAGGCTAGTCTAAAGTGGCTTGCCCAGGATCTCTAGGGTGTTCATGTGGCCTGTCAGACTCCATGAGGCCAGCCCAGTCTTGCTCACGTGGTGGGCACAGAGTTCCAAGACGAAGCAGAAGGCTTCTAGGACCTCTTGAAGCCTAGAACCAGATCTGGGAAGGGGGAAGGTTTGGAGCTTTTTATTTGTAATCAGTCAATAGCCAAATCATCAAACTATGCTTCAGCCTCTGTAAGAAACTGAAACAAGTGGGATTCTGGTCCTCAGGGCACCTGGAGCTTGTGGGATTGTCACAAAAAAAACGTAACATTCACTTTATGGTCTTTTAGCTCCTCATAAGTCGCCGCAAAGGAACATCAAAAAGCTCTTAAAAAAAAAAAAAAAAAGCTCTAAAAGTGACATCACTTTAAAATAGAATTCACTTCTTTGACATCTGTAATTTTACCTCCTCTAGGTTTCCTTACCACAGTATCTTTGTCATGTTAATATTTTGTTAGAAAAACAACTTAGGATTCTTGTGTTTTAAATTATATTTTAGGAAATATCGAATATTTAGAAGTAGTGTGTGGTTTTTTCTGTGACAGCGTTTTATTTGTTCTGTTTTACTTAAAAAGCAGCATGGTTTTTAGAGGTTTTATTGTTTTTTTTTAAAACAACTCTTGCATGGTTTGCTGCTTGGGAAAAATGTATTCCCATGGAAATTAACACCCACCAGGAGAATTTCCGGGCAGTAGGTTTGCTTTATACTGTCCAGTGTGGTCTTTCACTGCTTGTTTCATGTGAACATTGTTTCATTTTGACATTTGGAAGGTAGGTAGGTCTGCTTTGTAACACAGATACGTGGTTTTTCCAGGGTTGAACTTCCCAGCTTTGACCTGATCTGTTTTTCTCTCTTTTCTTCTTGTGGAGCATTTCTTTTTGCTTTTTCTACTTGCTGTTACTTCTTTTTTAAAAATTGAAGTGTAGCTGATCTACAATGTTGTTAGTTTCTGCTGTCCAGCAAAGTGATTCAGTCATACATATGTACGTTCTCTTTTTTAATCCTCTTTTCCATCGTGGTTTATCACAGGACACTGAATATAGTTTCTTGTGCAGTACAGTAGAACCTTGTTGATCCTTTCAGTATATAAGTGGTGGCATCTGCTAGTCCCAGTCTCCGACACTGACTTTCATTCTCATTGCCCCTCATCTCCCTTCCCCCAGTTTCTTCTCCCTCTCCCCTACCCCCTCCCACTGGCCCTGATCCCATCTGGCGGACACCCTTCCTGGGTGCGAGCATCCACGCTTGCCCAGCAGAATCACTCCTTTCTTGGCCCCGCTCCCATTCCACCCAGCAGGATTTCTCATTTAAGCGGGGGAAAAAAGTGGGGGGTGTAGAGAGTCTGCCCAACTGCCTCTGATTTGGCAAAATGCCTCCCCTTGAGTCTTCCCACACTTCCATGAACAGCGCAGCTTGGCAGCCTCCCCGACGCCCCCTCCTTCCCTCCGCCCGTCCGAGCCCACCAAACACAGTCAGAAGCTCTCGGTTTCTTTGCTGCATGCTGTAGTCAGCATGTCTGTTTCCGTGTGGTCTGAGACTGAGCTGCTCCCTGCCAATAAACCACTGCCGAGTGGCTGCCCAGCAGCTTCGGCCACGCTGTGCCCAGCCCCTGCCGCTCCTGGGCACTGTAATCTTGCATCCCAGGGGACAGGCTGCATGAAGAGAGGGAGGCAGATCACAAACCCACTGCCCCCAGTTACCCAAGTCGCTGTGGCTGCCACCAGTTGTGCATTCCAGGCTGAAAGGCACAGCTGTCTTTAAGATGTATGCAGTGGGTGGGCTCATCAGTGGAGCCTCAGCAGAGGGGACAGAAACACTTTGGCTGCTGGTTCCAGCCAAGAACACCAGGCACAAAAGGATTCATTTATCCATCCCTTTGCTTCAGTTAGTTAAGCCTTCCTTATGTGCAAGGTTTCAGCTAGATCCAGTTCATTGATACAAAAGTTGCTGTTATCATCTTCGATATTTGTTTCTTAGGGATGGGAGAAAGTAGTATCGGAACTCCGAGTTGTGCTTTGCACACTTGTGGTAGGCTCTGCTCATCACTGACTTCTCCTGTATGCTACGAGCTAAGAAAATAAATTATAACCTTCCCATGACCTGAAGGACTCATTACTAGACTCTTACTGCTTGGAAAGGTAGAAAGAAATATTAGCTCGCCATCACCCAGTACTGAAAACCTGGAAGCCATGAGCCCCTTTTAAAATACATTTAGTTGACAGATGTTCCTGAGCAGTTTCTCTGTGCCAGGCAGGGGTTCAGTGGTGGACCGATAGACATGTTCCCTACCTGCTAGGAACTTACAATCTAGCTACACAAAGCAATTTGTAATCGCAGACTGTGCCATGTTGATACAGTATGAAGAAGGGATGCCAGGGAAGATTAGACTAATATCCTACTCTCTAAACCAAGATCTGAAGGATGGCTCGAAGATAGTTATTTAATTGCTTCAGGAGAGAATGTTACCTTTCGTCCAGAATAGTTGGAATTCTGAGCATTTATCCTCATGTAGAAACAATGCCTTTCCAAAGCAAATCATTTCTCTTTAGAGCCAAAAGAAACCTTAGAGATTATCTGCTCTAAACTCTTCTTTCTACAAGAGGAAATTGAGGTCTCAGGGAAAGATGAGTATTTTGCTCAAGACGCCATATCTCACCTACAATCAGCAGGACCCAGGAAGGGACCCAGGACATTTTTCTCTAAATCCTGTTTCCAAGATATCAAACTGCTTATTTTCCATTTTTTTCTGAAAAACTTCTTAGATTCATTGCTTTTCAGAAACCATAAACACTGAATTGTACTCAAAGTATTTAGAAATCCAGAAAGACTGGCTCACATTCAGCCTCTGACACAAACTATGTCATTTTGAATGATTAATTCCTTCTAATTCTCTGTTTCTTCTGTAAAATGGGCTTCATAATGGTATAGTTTTATGTGTGTGTATGTGTGTGTGTGTGTGTGTGTGTATTCCTGGATCAGGAAGATCTCACTGGAGAAGGGAATGGCTACCCACTCCAGTACTCTTGCCTGGAGAATTCTATGGACAGAGAAGCCTGATGGGCTACAGTCCATGGGGTCACAAAAGAGTCAGACATGACTGGCAACTAACACTTTCAGTTTCACATGTATGTGTGTGTGTGTATGTATATGTATATGTACATAGTGGGTTGGCCAAAACATTCATTCAGATTGTTCTGTAACATTGTATAAAAAAACCCAGACAAACTTTTTGACCAACCCAATATATATGTATACTTAGGTATATCTGTAGATATGTGTGTGTGTATATATATCGATATATATCTGTAGATAGATAGATGGTTGGGTAATTGAGACAATACACCTAGAGTGCCTAGGACAGTATCTGGCTTGTCAGTTCTTAATCGGTGATAGTCATTGTTATGATATAATATTGTGAGAAAACTAATGAATGAACACTAAAATGCTAATCTCAAGAACAAGATACTGGAAGATAAAGGACAGCATCTCTTTTGTAAATCCTACTCTTCTGGGTGAGACTAGTGCCCTTAACCTGAGAAATTGTGCTGTCAGGAGGATAAGGAGAATCCCTGCATGCAGGTGAGTACCATCAAGAAGCACTGCAGCTGCCAAAGGTGGACAGCCTATATTGACCTAATGAGTATCCAGTGAAAAGCAAGAATCCTGGGTGAGAAAAGGTATACTGAAGAAGAGATTGTTGGCTTGACTGGGGAAAAGTTATATGCTGAGGCAAACTGTATTTGTTAGTTAACTTCATAGAAAAGCAGAATACTAGAGCTAGCTATAAGGGTCTTTCTCAACATTCACTTGGGAGATGAGGAAAGTGCATCCCATGAAGGAAGTTTTTATTTTTCTTTTTTTTAGTTGTAAATTGGTGCTTTTTGAAAGGCTGTTGATATTTTGTCTTTTTAAATAAACTGACATAACTCATTTTCATTTACTGCAGGTATTTTGTATAATTCAGAAATTCAGGTATGGAATTTTAATACTACATGAGCAGGTTTAAAAGGTTAAGGAAATATCCTGCTAGGATTAGTTATTGAACTTAAGCTAGGGGAAGAAGATTGAAAACCTATGGAATCTAACAAAAAGAAGGTGCTTCCAATTTCTAGCTCTAGGTTTACTTTCTCATTCTTCACAGTTAACAAAGGCATTTGAAAGTGATGAAGAGGCTGATGCTGATGATAGCAGTAAAAACTGATGATGATGATAATAATAATAGTTAATATCAATATTTTAGTGGCACTTACTATATCTCAGGCTTAGCTGGTAAAGAATCTGACTGCAATGCAGGAGACCTCGGTGTGATCCCTGGGTTGGGAAGATCCCCTGAAGAAGGGAACTGCTACCCATTCCAGTATTCTGGCCTGGAGAATCCCACGGACTATACATCCATGGGGTTGCCAAGAGTCGGACATGACTGAGTGACTTTCACTTTACTATATCTCAAATATCATTTCAAGCATTTATATATATTAACTCTTTGATGTTCAAATAACTCTCA